GGTCACTCAGAGGTGCACTCTCTGTGATGGAAGTAACTTTCATTTCCCAAACACCATAATCAAGACAATTCAAAAGATGGCGAGCATTATCATTATCAGAAAATTCTTTTCCAACAGATCTCAACTTCGAAATAATTTCTCCAAAACGTTTGAAATAAGAATCAATGGACTCTCCTGGGTGCATCTCAAATCTTTGATATTCTTTATGAAATTGATTCTGACGAACCAATTGAATATCATTGTTTCCCTCATGGAAATTGCACAGAGCAGTCCACATGTCATGAGCGGACTTGTGGTGTTGAACACGATTAAATTCACCAGAAGAAATTCCACCAATGATTGCATTTCTTGCACGATAATTAAAATCAACCTGAGCCATATTTGCAGGCGTGATGTCAGCATCATCGGGCACAGTATAAGGAGATTTAACCTTATTCCACACATTATGCCCTTGCGACTGGAGGTAGGCCTCCATTCGTGCCTTCCAAATGACAAAATTGTGTCCATCGAAAACAAATGGTTTCGCAGAGTATTTTTCCTCCATAGCTGCGTTCGTTGCCACGGTTAGGTTACAACGAACTTAACCGGGCTCTGATACCAATTGAAAGACCAAGAACAGCTATAGAGGGGGGGGTGAATATAGCAATTCAAATCTTGCCCCCGAAAATACTCATCAAGCCGGATTTCTCAAAATCCTTACTAGAATCGCGGCTATTAGAGAAGCCGGATCTAGAAAAGAAGAGAGAAAAAGAAGAGAAAAGGAATTCCCGAAACTAGAGGAGGAAGAGAAAAGGAATTCCCGAAACTAGAAGTGAGGTGAGAAAGAGAGAGCAAAACTCATCATCGCAAAGTTCAAATTGCAAGCGGAATTTAAATTGCGGAATTTAAATGGACAAGGCAAAAATGAAATCCTTCAAATCATTTCATTTATAGGTGATGCAAAATAACCGCTCAACTAGGAGCAAACATACACCTTCAGAGGAACATTAACACAAACTTAAAATCTCTCGGACAAACACACTCCAAACTAATCCTAATACAAAAGCCTCTCGGGCAAACACACTCCAAACTCACACGGAAACTCTCTCACCGAGCATCTCAAAATGATTACCAAAAGGAGCAACCTCCACCCTTGCATCCATCTCTCTATTTATAGCCTAAGACCCCTAAGACATTGTCTCAAATACCCCTAGGGCGAAACCCTAACTCAGAACAGATCTGGTCCATCCATTGTTCCTTCTACTCAAAGGAAAAGCTCCAGATGATTGCCACCTCATCGATCCGAACCCTCACATGGTCTTCTTGCTGATGAATCCGCGTGCTCTCCGTCTTGACGAATCCAAACTTGCCACGTTGCCTAGCCGCGTCGTGCGCGTTCCGTCTCCTTTTCCTCAGCGCGCGCTCGCCAGCGCCCAACCAGCCCGAAGCCGCCACGCGTCCCGCTGAGCCGCTCCCGCGCGCGCTTGCAAAATCGCGTGTGGGTCCCGCGCTCCTGCACCCGCCTCCGATCGAGTCACGCGAAACGGGGGTTGCCGCGTACGGTTTTTCCGCGCGCGTCCTTGCGCATGCAAGCTGCCTGCACCTCCTGAGCCCATGCGCCATGGGCCGCCGTCTTGGGCCGTCGCTGCTTGGACGATGCAGGCCTGCCGAGCCGAGCCATTCACCATCTTGGGCCACGTGGAACGGCTGGATTGGCTTGGCCTCCCTGCCAACCAATCACAGCGCACATGCACAGCTAGCTAGCTTGACTTTTCCACCGAGCCATGCTAGTAGCAACCAGTACAGTGCAAGCTCCTCCTTGCACAAGTACAGTACGTGTACATGCATGTATGCTACCTACAGCAAGTACTGTAGCAGCAATGCACTTGCACAGTCCCTTCTGATTTCTTCGCGAATCCGATGCTTGCACACTTGGCCTTGTGAAGCCTGTTGCAAAGACCTTTTCACACGGTGTTCGTCCACCGTGTGCAACCTTGTGTCCAATCTTGTCACCCGGCATCCTTGATCGCTTTGGACCTCAACTCCTCCCTGAGTCTAGTCCCGATCCGCCGTTGACCAAGATCGACCCCGATCACCTGCACACACATGAACCAAACAACCGTTGTCTTGGCACAGATGTCGCAACCTGACCAACGTTAGTCCACACACACACTTCTTGCACATCCGGTACTTGTCAATTTCCCATCACAAAAGAACTATAACCACACATGGTTTCACAATTGGCGTGATGGCACTCTTTGCGAGATTTGTTTTCAATCCAGTGGCCTCCCCAAACAGATCCAGCACAGCCTGAATAACCAACGCTTCCTGAGTCACCGGGCGGAAGAAGACACTGAAGTGCTGGGCAAAAATCTCGCAGCATTGAGAGGAGAGAGCAATCCCGTCGTCCTGGCTTGGGTCATGATAGCCTCAGGCGTATCCATAACCAACACAAAAAGAAGGGGTGACAGCGGGTCACCTTGCCTCAACCCCCTCGCCAGCTTCACCGGATCAGAAGTGATCCCATTGATCAGAATACTTGTCTCAGCCGTTAGAAGCAGAGCAGACAGGCATCTTCTCCAACCAGCACCAAATCCCCTGAATTCTAACATCTCCAAAAGGAAACTCCAGGAAACGGTGTCGAATGCCTTAGATATATCCAGCTTGAGCAAGATCATGTCTTTCTTCCTTCTGTGAAATTGCTGCGCCAAACCTTTGACAAAAATGAAGTTTTCATGAAGGTTTCTCCCTCTGATGAAAGCTGTTTGCGTGTGTGGGATTAGATCATCCATCTTTAGGGCCAGCCTCAGAGCCAGCTAGAGCTATGTCTTATGTGTAGCTTTAGTAAGCCTCCAGATCGGAGAAACGCCCATCAGTCTTCCGGCTAACTTCATAAGGAGGGCTAGTCGGCTTGGGTTCGAAATCTCACATCTTATATTTATTTGATATTAGGTCATTTTCTAATATTTGCGTTTTTAGGTAATTAGCCTCCACGTCTTCAGTCCAGTCTCAGTGTAACATCAATGTCAGTAACAGTTAGGAGCAGTGAAACAGATTCGTCGGTGAATGCTCCAAAACTTCAGAAAGTACAATAAGCGGTTACACACCATATTCGATCTTTTGGCGAGAGGTTCTTCAGGCTTCATCAGCTTACAGTTACAGGGGACGTAATAACGTAACTGAAGATCACTTATGTTTTTTGTTTTTTTTTTCAAAAACATAACTGAACATCACGACCTAAGAATAGCATTATGTTTTCTGGAAGAATGGCGTGTGAGAAGGATAAGGTAGAAGAAGCGGTAGCGCAGAAAGGCCAAGGGCACGCTAGGATTAAAGGGCTCGGAGCTGCCGTTTCGTCGCCATCTTTAGCGTAAGTGGCGAGCTTTTCTTGAGGCAAAATTAGGTGGCAAGATTAGCAGCCTCAGATCATCATCATCATCATCATCAATTCAGTGTTTATTTCGTTGCCGCGCATGAGCGAAAAGCCGGCATAATATATTGAGGTGCAATCTTTTTGCGCGTTCACGAAAAAGCGAAAAGCCGGCAAATTAAGCCCAAAGCTTAGCTAGAAAGAGTAGCTTAGCTTGGAGCAGGCACACATACGTGATGTAGTGCGTGCTTGCGTGGTGACCTTTCTCTGCTTATCTCATTTCCTGCCGCTTTTGGTTCCATCGATCGGCAGGTGGCGCTGGTGCCATGCGCTTTACCCAAACCTTAACAGCGCCGTACCTAATTTTTGCAATATTGGAGATGAAATGAAAGGAAGATTCAGAGTTTCAGACGATTAATTTATACATAGGTGTGACTATTATTACTCTGTTACTCCCTCCCTGCTAAAAATAATCCAAATTCATTTGTACTAATTTGGACTAGAATGTATCACATCCACCCAAAATCTTTTACTTCATTCGTTTCACAATATAAGTCATTCTAGCATTTCTCACAGTCTAGATTTATTAACATCAATATTAATATGGGAAATGCTAGAATGACTACTCCATCCGTTTTACAATGTAAGACACATATATGTGTATAGATTCATTAACATCTATATAAATGTGGATAATTTTAGAAAGTCTTACGTTACGAAACGGAGGAAATGGTATAAAGAGCAAATCGATCGAAGAAGCTCTGCAAGCTCTGTAGCCTGCAGAAAGAGGAGGGATGGGAAAGGGTGGTGGACGTCTGTCGAGAAGGAAGGTACAAAAAGCAAGAGGGAGAAGGACCCGGCGCCATAGCCTCTAAGGGGAATTTCAAAGGACTTGGATTTCTAAGGATTAATTTCTATGAAATCCATTTGGTTCGAAGAAATCTAGATATAGGAAAACAAAAAAATTCTTTCCTACAAGTTATAAAAAGAAAACATAAAAAAATTCATCCGCTCTGACCAATTGGAAAATTCCTATGGATTGAAGTTCGCATGCATTCCTATTCCTTCACTTCTCCTATTCTTATGTGTTATTTTTTAAAAAAAAATGAATAGGCCCTGAGAGATGGAGATCAGAGGAGAGGAGAACAGCCAACTCAGGTGGTTTGACCAAGGGCAATATGCCGTCAGTGAATACCACCTTCAATACTACTTTGAAGTTATTTTATACCGGTTTAAGAAGTCGTCATAGCTGCGTTCAAGGGATACAAATTAAATTCAACCTATATGGCTGCGTTCGTTCAAGTGACATTGAGTGAGAAATCACATCGTTTTCCTCGCGCACACGTCCCAAACTACTAAACGGTGTGTTTTTTAAAAAAAATATAGAAAAGTTGCTTTAAAAAAATCATATTAATCTATTTTTGAAATTTATAATAATTTATACTCAATTAATCATGCGCTAATGGCTCACCCCGTTTTACGTATCTTTCCAATCTTCTCAATCCTCTTCTCCTCAAACTCAGTCTTAGGGAGTAGCGTTGGACTTTTTCCTTCTCCGATCGCTCTCGCGGTGATGGGCTGACTTTAGTGGGCCGCACGGTGAAGCACGGCCCAAGAAGTACTGCCCAGGTCGGCGAGAGGCGAGAGCTCATGAAATTCAACTGCAGTTCATATCATACACAGGCAATCCCCAGGTGCAGCTCCTTCTGCTCGTACAGACATAATACTATAAACACGCAAACCCTTTTAGTAATTATCTTATTATTTCAAGCACAAAAAACGACAGCAGACTGGTACAGTATCGGTAAGACTGTATATATCTTAGACGAAAGCCCAAAGCTGTGTCTTGCTATATCGCGTGCAAAAACGCTGGGACCTGACCTCTCGTTGCTTCAGAAGGAGACCTTGATGCCAAGCAATGCCATGAGCTGGGAGATGAACTCCGGGTGGCCAGGCCATGCCGCGCCGGTCACAAGGTTGCCGTCGGTGAAGCAGCGGTCAATGGGATTGGGCTCCAGCCATGTCGCCCCGCCAAGCACCACGTTCAGCTTCACCGCAGGATACGCCGTGCATTTCCTTCCCTGCATATCATATTATCATCCACAATTAGGGAGACTGGGGAGCATCGCTGCGTGCATCAAACAGGTTTGTGTCCATTTGTGTGAGATTTTCGGAAGCAATTCAGTGATCCTGAATAACTACGCTAAGAAGGATAGTGACATACTGATACTGTAATAGTACGTCTTGTTGCCTACCTTACCACACTATGAAAATGCTTTTACTTTGCAGGAATGATTTAATCATTTAATTATCCATTAATCAAGAATAGATATTGTTGCATTATTTTTGTTTTGTTCAAGGTAAATTTTCCTATCGCTAGGTATTGAGTTGCATGCACCGACCAGTTCAATCCAAAAGCTTAAGCTGATGAGGAAAGACGGACAATTCACTTTATATTCCAACACTAGGTATAGAAGTAATCAAGTAAGTACGATTAATGTAGAGCAATGGTAGAAAATTAATCATTATCATGTACCTGAAGGACTCCAGCAGCAGATAAAATCTGTTGGCCATGGCAAATTGAGGCGACTGGCTTTGCTTTATCCATGAAGCCCTTCACAAGGCTAATGACTTTATCGTTCAGTGCAAGGTACTCAGGAGCCCGTCCACCAGGAATTACAAGTGCATCATAGCTTGATGCATCCACATTGTCAAATGATGCTGTCAAAGCAAAATCGTGACCAGGCTTCTCGCTGTATGTTTGGTCACCTTCAAAGTCATGTATGGCAGTTGGGCATTTCTCCCCAGCACCCTTGTCAGGGCAAACTGCATCAACATGGCAACCAAGGGCTTGAAGAGACTGAAATGGTACCATAACCTCATAATCTTCCATGTAATCCTGTTATAAGCATGTAGTTAAGCAAAGAGGTTCAGCAGAGATGGTATGACTTATGAAAAATGAAGAAAATAAGAAAGTAGTCATACGAATTCAATTGAATGAAATTTCCCTAAACATACCCCACAAAGGAACAATATCCGTTTGTTTGAGCCAGTTACAGAGCCTCCAAGCGCTTTCACAAAAAGGCTGATGAATTCAGGATGTGCATCGTAAGCCACTGCAGTGACAAGATTTCCATCAACTGTGCATTTGTCCATAGTATCAGCTTCTTCCCACTTAGCACCAGCAGCAACCAAAACTGGTTTAACAGCAGGATATGCGGTGCATTTACGGTTCTGGACTACTCCAGCTGCTGCCAAAATCAACTGTCCATGGCAAACTGATGCAATAGGTTTCTTCGCATCAGAGAATTTCCTTACTAAATCAAGAACCTTTTCATCCATGGCGAGATACTCTGGTGCACGGCCTCCAGGAATTACCAAGCCATCATATTCATTGATATTAACCTCATCAAACGAAGCATTAAGTGCGAAATTGTGGCCCCTTGACTCAGCATATGTCTGCATGATGAATCAAAATGAATCTAATTTAATTTGTCAAAGCAAACTTATGTTAGAAAGACGAAAAGTACCACCATACTATCACACCTAAAAGAACCAACAATACAGACGATCCTTATAATCGAGTGCTTCAGAGAAAACAAAGATTCCATTACTAAAGGGAGTAGTAGTCCAGTAGACAAAGAGGACCCCCAAATTAGTTTTGAAAGAAGCAACACCATCTAAAGAGAAGCAGGAACTAATGCAATAATATGGGAAACAGACAAGGATATGAATTTATAAGAAATCTCTACAGCAACAGTTAACCCCCAAATCATGAACCAATCAACAGTTCACTTAAGTGACGAAAGAAATAAGAATGGCTGTCTAAGTATATTCAGTATCCAAAATGTTCAAATGATTTTTCCATTCAATCATGCAGAAGAGCTATCCCATTTTGTAGACAGTTAAGGAATATTTCTGCTCATGACTGATTATTCCGTCAAACTTATCTCGCAATGCTAAACCAGATATTTGGAGAATAGAAAGAATAACAGATAAAGCTAATGGATCAATCATACCAAGAAATCTGTCATTTCATTATGAGCTCTCAAAAATAAACCTAGTTGCACATATGTTTTCCCTGTCCCGTTGTGTGACTGTGTGTACTCTCCTTTTCTTTCCCCCTTCTGCCAATTGCGATGAGCAGATGTGTATTAATCCTAGAAATTACATCCTAAAATTACTCAAAGGCAAGAAAGCGAAGATATTCCTGACCACTCTAGAATGGGAATCCGCCATGTTCAATTCATCAGACCAAGCCCTAACTAGTTATACTAAACCCTATCCAAATCGAGCGGAATCGAATCATTCCAAGTACCTGGTGGCCAATCCCCTGATGGACGGCGGTGCGGCACGAGTCGCCGGCCTTCTTGCCGGGGCAGGCAGCATCCACGGACACCCCGTACGCTTGCAGCGCTTGGAACGGAACCATGGCCTGATCCACAAGATTCCAAGAAAACCCCATTGGAATCGCGAGGACACGAATCGAACACACAAGACACGGAACAAGAGGAAGATTTGCCTCACCTCGTAGTCCTCCATGTAGTCTCCGCAGAGCAGGAGCACCTTCTTGGGAGCCATCTCCGATCACTTCTTGTTCTTGGGTTGGTGAGCTTCCCTAGTCTAGAAGCCGAGAGACTGAGAGTAGTACAGTAGTAATCCAGTTTTTATATATGCCACTGAAGGCTCATCCTCTTCTTGTCTTCTTCTTCTCATGATGCAAACTGTTTCATTCTTTTGAGAATTTCTTTTTCAGTTTTTGCGATCGTGATTTATCCTATCTTTTTTTATAATGAAATTGTTACTGGTATTTTTTAGTACTTGCTAAATGCCGAAATTCTTAATTAGGAGTAACATCCAATGTTGTTTCTTTGGGGAAAAACCACAAGCCGATTGTATTTTACAGAAAACATTGCATTTCAGGATTACTCTCTCAATCCTCTCTCTCTCTCTCTCTCTCTCTTTTTGAATTTTAATTTGAATTGTAATTTTTGATCTAACGGAAGAAATACACATGCGCCCTAATACAATTTTGAAGGGCATTTGATGATGTGCAACAATATATGCATTTGGTTGTTGGTTTCCCCGTCCAGAAAGGTGTGCATTTGTTGCTCTTAAGAAGGCCATAGAATCTCACGATTGCGTTCAATGATCATGCAGGCAGATAATTTAGCATATAGCAGTACAGTTTGCAAGGGTATACATGTGAGCTTCCCAGGAGACTTAATATACTGATAATCTCGTGGTTTGCGAGGATTGATTTTCAGTCCTGTGATGATTCAATGCGGAACATTTTGGTCAGAAGCAGAGATCCAGTAGGCGCGGCACGATCACGAGTATATTTAAAAGATACTAATTAAGACTAGAGAAAAAAATAAGCTCGCGCGTTACAACGGGTGAAGGTTATTTTAATTTAGAGTAAAGTGCATTGGCAGTCCTTAAACTCGTAAGGTTATGTTATAAAGGTCTCTAAAATCTCAAAATACATATCCAGGTCCCATAACTTGTCAAAGTGTATCATCTATGTCCCAAATTGATACATCCCCTCTAGAATCCTACGTGACGCTGATGTGGCAATGCCACATGGACGTGACATGTCTTTTTCTCTTTTTTTTTCTTCTTTTATTTTTCTTTTTCGGTTTCTTCCCATTCTTTTTTTTCTTTTTTTCTACACGGGTCATAGAGAAAAGAGAATAAATGGGAAAAAAGAGAAGAAAAAAAGAAAAAGAAAAAATAATGCCATGTCATGTCTGTGTGGCATGTCACATCAATGCCTCGTAGATTTTTGAAGGGGTTATGACGATTTGAGACCTAGATAACACATTATGACAAGTTCTAGGATTTGGATATGTATTTTGAGAGTTCAGGGACCTAGATGACACACCCCTACAAGTTTAAGGAATGTTCGTACACGTTACTCTTTAATTTATTGTTGTTATACGATTTATTAGTTAAGATGATATTCACTCTAGGAATTCGCGGCTTGGATATATATTTTTCTAGAAAATCATGAGTTGCAATTAGGAGTTTGATCATCTCAAGTTAGCATGTGAGATTTTTAAAGAGATATCTTATATGACTCCTTCGATATTTTTAAAAGCAAACGAATTTAAAACCCGACTGAACGGATGTGTATTTCCAAAATCAAACAAACTTAAAAACCGACTCATACACGGATGATATATTAAAGTACTAGCAAAAACATTTTCAATTAGTAGAGATAGAGATGATCGTGAGTTGAGAATCACACTCCGTTAACCTGATAAAATAGTTCGTTATGATTATAAGATGATTATATTTGAATGAAGCAGCAAAATTTTACAGAGTCCCAGACGGCCAAATTAGTTGACCTGATAAAATAGTTCCTTCCCTCGTTCAGAGGCTGATGCCATCTTAAGAATCTTAGGAAAACTGAGGAACCACATATGTACAATCACACATTACTCTTTCGTGAAGAAAAGAACCCCTCCAAAATGGGGCTGATTATATTACCCATATCAGGCAAAAAATTTATCAAAGAAATATCTTGTCTGTTAGTTAGGAAACTAATACAATACAATAGTTTCAGGATAGATCAGATATATGCTGAACACAACGAGTGCAGCAGTTTTTACACGTAAAGCCCTTTTAATTTATGAATCCTACCCCCGCTTCATACCTGACCTATACTTATCAGTTATCAGCCTTATAAATAAAGGCTTTGGCACTATGAACTTCAAGAACAAAACACAAAGCACCAGAGGAATTTATCCAAATAGATTCACTAAGGCAAGCATTTTCAGCTTTGCTGCATGCAACAAAACCAGGAGAAGGCCCACAGAGCTCAAGAGAAAACAACCCCTACTTTCCGAGCAAAATCATCATCGTCATCATACTCTTCATCATCATCTTCATAAGCATTCTCGTCATCGGATTTGTAGTCCTGGCCTTCGATAGGCTCATAGTAGGACTCCCCCTCCCTCTGGTCATAATTATCAGCATCTTGATTTTCCACGGGATCCACCTCAATAATATCTTCAGCCTCAAGTTTGTCACCATGAGATGAAGATTGCCCATGGCCCTCCACAGGGATGTGGCCTTCGTCTCTGAATTCTTCATCGCCAGATCCACTTTTGTATTCATCAGAACTAATTATGTTGTCACCTTCCTTCTCAGCTTCAGCCAGAGAAGCTTGCCTGTGTGAGACCTCGGCAGATTTATCTTGTTTGGGGCTACAGGCAGATGTGCCATTGGCCCATGCTGCCTCTCTTTTCCGCTGTAAGATGACACTAAGGGGCTTTGGGCCCTCAAAATCAAGCGATGCTTCAGGCTCAACACTTCCATTGGCCTTACTGGAGTCCCTCGAGTTTTTGCGATGAGGGAAGTTGTGTGAGTCAGGCACATCCTTTGTCAAATGCTGGCCATCTGCATTCCTGGAACCTAAAGCAAGTTCACTTGATCTCCGCTGGGTCTGCTCTTCATGTTGTCCTGCCTCCCTATGCCTGGTACCCTGAAATTCCGTGCGCCTAACTGGAGACAGCCTGTCCCGGAGTCTTCTTCTATCTCGCTCTTTCTCGGAGCGAGTATCAACTCTGTCAGGAGATCTTCCAGGAAGCTTTATTCTGCCTTGCAGACGAGAGCTAAGAGTGCTTCCTCGAGAGCTCTGGTGATGATCCCTGTGTGAACGGTGACCATGTGCCCTTTCCCTGTAGCGCTCATCCCTCCGCCGTTGCTCTCCATTGCGTTCTGGACTAATTGCCAATGAAGACTCATTTATTCTTCTCCTACGGAGCCGATGACGTAAATCCGATCCATCCATCTCGACACGGTCTCTATCTCTTTGCAGAAACCTTCTTTCTGAGTGGAAAGGCCGTTCCATGCTCCTCTCAGATGATCTACGCCGTTTTCTCTCGTAGCCATCATACATATGTCCCATCTGGTCTTGCTCATCCATACCATTGAACCGCTCTCTTTCATGATGTGCACGAACATCAAAATCAGCTGGAGCATATTCATAATCTTCCACTGGATACATATCTCCTCCAAAATCTTCATCATGTAAATAAGCAGCACCATCTGCATCATTGTCCACGAGAACATCAAAACCTGGTGAAGATTCACCCAAAAGTTCATCAGCCTCCCTACTGTTCTGGGGCAGATCATCTGCAGGGGGCATTTCATAACTTTGGTTCCAATCTCGCACAGGATCACTATCCATTGGAAAATGGTTCTGGTAGCACTCAGGATGATCCCCACCTGAAGAAGTAGTGAAGCTTTCCTTAAGTGCTGCTGGCGTACTACTTTTTACCTTCTCTGACTTAGGACAAGACATTGCATTGGAAGCAACCGGTATTGCAACTGTAGCTGTCCTGGCAGAATTAACCGTTGACCGATCAACGGCTGTTTTGCCCCTCTCATTAGTTATTGGAGCACCATGCTGAATGGAATTAGTAGACTGCACAGAATCTTTAATGCCCAACAAATCATTCTTTTGAGTCTGAAGCTGCTCCAAAGGTAAGGAAGAAACTTTTACCACCTGTTCTGATGGATTATTTCCCACTGATTGTGGTCCATGATAAAATGCGCATCTGTCACCTTTCAAGCAGTTTCCCTTTTTAAAGTAATAGCATGGAACCAACTGCTTTCCAGAGTTAAATGGAGCGTAGTGTGAAGAAACTGCAGGCATTCCAGTAGTTGGAGCACCAAACATACCATCAATTGGCTGGGTAAAAGTAGAAGACAGAATTAGACTCCAAATAACTTCACTGGACAAAATGACCAAATAATATTAAGCTTAATAACTAGGAGCAAACACCCTGTTAGTTTCTGATGAACAGAAACATAACAGCAAATTTACTAGTCTTAGACAATGCTGCTTGCTGGCAAGTATTGATAAAAAAACATAATACCAGTGCATAAGGGGAAAAAGGAAGGAAAGGGACATACCGGATGGCGAAACGGACATTTTGGATTCAAGCAATTGCTATTTAACCAGTACCAGCAGTCTCTAGGGTTCATACGAGCATTATCACTGTGACGAAAATCACATTCGTTCCCCTGATGTAAGGAACAAAAAGAATCATTATCAATTAAAATATTCAAGCTAGAAGTTAGTAACAAATCCATGATGGACAAAATATTCATGGTAAATAAGACACAAAAGCCCATAAGGATTAATGTAGCATTTTTTTAGTGTTACATTAATGTTTATATATAGAGAATTGCACATATTTGCATTAATGTAGCATAATTTTGATAGTATTATCAAACAAGATTACAAAGTTACAACACATCAGATTGTGTGACAGATTTGATTTATGGCAAGCGTTTTGCCTCTCTCTAATTTAACCATAGTTCATCAGAACAGCTCCAGAACTAAATCAGTACAGCATCATACGTATTCCAAAATAATAGAGGGGCTAAAAGCAAATGGAATTCTGAGCCGAGCAAGGATTCCCAAAGAGAAACAAAAAAATTGTGAAGCAATGATCTTGAATAACTAGACTAATAAGGATACTAACATATTGTTATAGTGCTCCTGGTGACAAGGGAAGCATTACAATTCCTACCTTACCGTACTACTAAAAGCCATGTAGCCACTGCAATAGCGATATATTGGGAACAAATGCGATAGTAAATTACATTGTTTTCACTTTTCACCCGAAGGAGCATCAATTCAGGACAACCATACCATTCAAATTTTAAATTATAGAGCCGATTCAGAATTTGACCTAGCATAGAAACCCTGAAAAATTCAGGGGCTAACACCAAGAGGCAACAAATACCCCGAACCTGAAGGCACTACGAACTTATATTATTACGTTATCTACATTAAGCATCACATCTTGGATGAGGGGGAATAGCCATATGAAAAGATTCCATCTTGAACCAAAGAAATTCGTGTTTACTTAGCTCAGAAATCAAGATTCCCGAAACGAGGTGCGGAATTCAAATTCTAAGCTCCAATCGAGAAAAGACGAATTACCACCCCGCCCCAAAAACCAAACCAGCTTATATACGAGGGAAAAGAGACGACGAATCGTCGAGAGAGAACGAGCACACACCTTCTTGCATGTGAGGGGCGAGGCGAGGAAGTAGACGCAGTCGGTGTTGCGCCGCAGCGCCTCCTCCTCTGGCGCCAGGGGCCTCGCGCCGGCCTCCGTGCTCGCCTCCCCCGCCGCCGCCGCAGCCGCGGCACCGTCCGCCTCCATGGCCCCCGTCTCGAGAGGAGCCGCCGTCGGGCCCTCCTCCTCCTCCTCCTCCTCCCAACCCCACCCCGCACGAACGCGGCGGCGGGAGGACGCCGATCGCGCGCGCGCGCGCCTCCGGCGGCGGCGGGGAGGGAGGTGGGGCGGGCTAGGGTTCGGCGGTGGCGGCGGGATTGGATCTACGTGGAGGGGAGGCGGGTTAGGGTTGGGCGCGACGGGGGAAGGAGGGGTTCGCGTTGCGTTGCGCCCTTCGCCTCTCTTGGCTGCGCGTGTCGACTTGGGGAAAAAGGGTTGGGTTGGTGGACGCCGCAGGTTTTTTTTAAAAAAATAAATAAATAGATAAAATAATTGGGAAAAGGTCGGTATTATAGGCAACGGCAACGGGAGGGTTTTTCTGTAAATCCGATTTGGGTTGCGCTTGCGCCTCTCTGTCTATGCAATAGGTTGACCGTTGAATAGCACAGTGCTACTCCGGTTTGAGTACCTCTGTGATGTCTTTGACTCACTGCTCGGTGATGTTAGTGACTTTTTCCATCTATTTAACTCAAAATAATTTTTTATTTAATTATTTATTCATCATATCAAAGTTTGTATAGTAAGACATAAATACATTGAAAATAGATAAAAACAACAATAATTATATTAGGATTTAATAAAGTGGGATATTATACTATTTTTATTTTTGTTCGTACGTGCATAATGAGTGAAATATAAATTTATTTTGAGAAGAGGGGAGTAGTACACCACTACTAGTAGAACAACTCTATTTTACATTTTCCTTTTTTTCTCTCTAGGGAATACGTTTTACATTTGAATTCACTTGTTCAATTATTGGATTTGTTCATACGGCCTAGCTGTGGTTGCACTACAACCAGGCATCTAGCAGCAAGCAGCAGCTTCCTGCGCCATGTGTTTGTGCAGCCGAACGGCTAAGCTGTGCAACACAGCTTAAAACGCTGTAGCAAAAGTCTACCGAACAAATCCGTTAACTCATCACAACACCCTTGTAAAAGAATTTATTATCTACACTTCTCAAACATCTTTTATGGTAGCCCTTGCCTAATGTGATGTTATTGTCTCCAACTATAACAGGGCCAGCAATGACGTATCCAGAAAAAAATAGCAGGATGTCTAAGAAATTAGACAAAGGAACAGCAGCTCCATTTCCATCTATGTATGGCAAAAAAAAAATTGTAGAGATTATGTGAGTTGTCCATAATCCTCGCATCAATAGTAGAGGCTCGAGCCACATCACTCTTCTGATAGAATTGCCCCAAAGAACTAGGATTTACAAAACTAGTGAAAACCGGATGGTGACAAAAACTCGATTTCTCGGGCTGGTTCGAGGACATAAACCGCTTAGTTTAACAATCAAATTCAAAAAAAGTTCAAAGTAGATTTTTATTTTTTTATATAAAAATTAATCAGATTTTGTCGGGATCAAAAAGTTTTTTAAACGGCTTTGGTGAAAAAGAAATTGCTCCCTCTTTTTTTTCTCCTTTTTTGATCGGGAACAGTTTAGTACTATGTGGTCAGGAAAAATAAGGAGGGGGGGGCAATCGGATTGGGATTCGGTGACATTCCCCATGACATTCTCGTGTCACGGGGGAATATCACATAATCCCAATCGGGGGCAATCCAGGTTTCCTCGTCAGAAAGGAGGTGCGAAAACAACTGCGACAGATCGTACATTCCAATCCTTTATAACGGCATACGCCGCCATGGAGCCTGTGTTGGATCATGGATCCCATCTCACTCCACGCGAAAGCTCCCACAAATTACAGCTTCCTCCACCACCAGTTGATTCCCTCGCCGTCGTCCCGGATAAGAAACTCGGCGCACACGACGGTGGCAGGCGGCGCAAGGAGAAAGGCAAACACAAACGAGCCCACGCAAAACGGTATTTGCTCACTCTGCCTCAAATCTTACTCTCTTGCCAGTTCGTCGATCTATGTATTCTGTAGAGTGAACCATCGGGAATTCTGTTCTTTAGATTTGGATATTCAACAACAGAAAATATCACAACAGTATATGATTAGCATTAATAATAAAAGCAAAATATTAGGCACTACAGAAAAAACTTCAGATTGACAGCTCCTCTCGAAACTGACATAACCGGACAATCGGTGAAAATCCAGATCCTACAACACGAATTGAAACAATCCTCGTGCGCTTCGATTATTGCAGTTTTTTTTGGTTGAAAGCATGTAGAGGAATCTCAATACACATAAATCCTGATACAATATCAACTAAGTTTAATGTCTAGGAAGACTCGATGAAACATGAAAACAGTGGACTGCCGTGCGAGTTACAAATCATCTAGGATAAGAGTTAAACCGATACTGATTCCTAAGTGGAACCTACAAAATATCAGGTTTCGTGGTTCCGGTGGCCTGCACCGAATAGGTAACAGAGAGTTCTGGAAACATGTACGGCGTACATGCAAGATACAAATTTGGGACTTCTGACGACGTGCATTGTCGAGAGCAAGAGTGCCACCATGCACTGCAGAATCCTCCTGGAAGCCCTGTGATAGTATACCAGGACATGTTAGTATGCAGAGATGAATATGCATAAAAAGACTCTAAATTAAATTTGAGTCGTCAATTAAGATGTGAGTTATTCCGAGCAATAAAAATTAGAGCAAACAGACATTCTTCAACCCGCACAATGAGACCATTTTACATTCAATAAGGGACAAAAAACACATGATGCCAATATGTCAACAACTATCGAAGTACACAACATGATAACAGATTTACTCAGAAAAGAACATCTCTATCCAGTCATAGGTTTTTAAGGATTAGTGTGGGATTTGGTAATCGTTACAATAAATATAATTATGACATCTTACCAGAAATGGCACCATGTTCTCTCACTTCAGGACAGATACCGTGGATCATTTCCTTGCTTTCCCATCTTATGCACATCCTCAGGTGAAAGTATCTTGATGTACCATACACTATTCACAAAGGACCTACATCATATGAGGAAGGTCAGTTTCAAGAAGAATCATGTCTGATGTTTACTCTCACGAAGGGTCTTGGGTAACTGAGCATCAACATATAGTGACTGACCAACACATATTATTGAAGGAAGAACAGTCTAGTAAAAAAATTTAACATATTAATACACATTAAAGATGTATGACTGAATGCACATGAATTCTGTTTGAGATCACAATTAGGCACCGAACATTGCAAAAATATACTCCATATAACACTAGTACTTTTAAACATATTCATTAGATACTGTCCATGAGCTGTCAACATGTCTTTCAGTGAATGAAGAAGGGATATCCATTCACATTGTACATACCTTTCCTCGATAAGCTATTAGTTGTGGAAACCAGGAAACCAAAGTATTGTACTCCCTCCGTTTCATAATGTAAGACTTTTTAGCATTGCTCACATTCATATAGATGTTAATGAATCTAGACACACATATATTTCTAGATTCATTAACATCTATATGAATGTGGGCAATGCTAGAAAGTCTTACATTATGAAACGGAGGAAGTATAAGACAGCCACTTTTGCACTTGCTAGTCAAGCCAAATTTTGTTGATCTTAGGCACGTTTAATATCTTTAAATTATTTAGATATACAATGAAGTTACAATGCCTGATGTAGATTTGAAATTTTTACTTAGCATGTTAACTTGGCCGTTTTGAGGCCAACATCAATTAAGAGATTCAGTTTGTAGTGTGCACACATGGACAGGGTATGCCAAGTGTAGTACTAAAATTTAAGCAGATTTTTTTGCAACCAAATCATAGAACGGTAAGATGAAACTTAAATTTATATTGCTTACTAAAACTTGAATTTGTAGTGCGCATGCATGGATATTGATTACTAAAACTAATAAATAAATCAGAATTCTGAGAATATTTCTTACTCCCAAGGGTCGTCTCCAAGGAGAAGCACATCATTCTCCCTGTCGACGAATACAAGCTGCCAGCCTGATCTATCAGGGTCGTCCAATTGACCCTTAATGCCGAACATCTGACCCAGTTCTTCTCGAAGTTCAGCATAATTAGAGAACCGGGTTATGTCCAACGACCTCCCAACCGAACCTGACTTGTAAACCTGCAATTTTACAATGGTTCCATGAAAAGAAGAATATATATTTTTTGGAGGAAAAAGAGGAGCTCATATTTGACCTAGCAACAATGCAAATTATACTAGTTACCTTCACAAATGTTCTGGTTGCTGGATCGTTCTCTCCTGTATTTTGCAATAAACCAGAAGAGTCGTCCAAGCAACCATACATTGCATTCTGCAGATAAGTTGATCCAGAAGGGATCGTTGATAAGTTGCCATCCGAAACATTCGAAGTCAGATTAGGAACCATGTTGTACAGGAGGGATGAAGAGTCAACTTGTGGACTAAAAAGGGACTGGTTTTGCACATCACGACCAATTTTGTTTTCAACAGAACCATCTTTGCTTGTGGGTGAGTTATGCAAAACCGAGCCCCCAAAAGACACTGACTGTGAACCCATAAACTTCTGCTTCCATGCCTGTTGCTGCTGCTGCTGCTGCTCACTAGCTACAGGCTGATTAAATCGAGATAAGTCCACAGCTTTCGAACTTCCCTGAAGGAAGCTCGAATCCAACATGTTATCACTACTGCTAGAGGTGATGAAGCTTGAAGAATTCGCATTAGGATCAGAGAAGCCAAATTTTTCTCGCAAATGACTCGGTAATGATGTTGGACTTGGGAGAACTGCACTTGTAGGAACTTGGTAGCTTTGATCTGGTTGAATCTTCTGCTTCTGATCATTCTGAACTTGCTGCATTTGCTGTAGTTGCTGGAGTTGCTGTTGTATAGCACTTGGGCTCAACATCGTTTGGATATTTTGGGCATCAGGATTAATTATCTGTTGCTGGCTTGCTTGCTGCAGAATTTGTTGCTGCAATAATGGGTTGAGGTTGCAGTGTTCTTGAGGGGACTGCATAGGTTGCTGAAGGTGCAAGAATTGCTGTTTTAAGTAACCACCAGATTGGGAAGCAGCAGCAGCAGCAACTACTGCTTGGTACTGATCGTGATCGCTGCTCAGTAAGGATGGATGGAGCCTCTGTTGTCCCCAGGAGCCAATACCAGGTGACTGAAAGTTCAGAGACTGAAAACCTCCCTCACCAGCAACTCCTCTCAGCCACATTAAAGCATTGCTGTCATCTTAAGTGTGATACAGCAGTTAATAAAAGAACAGAAATATGAATGAGAGATACTAGAAAATGGAATTATGTCAGGCAGATCAATGCATTC